CCCCCCCCTCAGCCCCAAGGAGGGCCAGATCCACCATTTATTACAAATTTAGTCCCATTGGCCTAAGGATGTTCCAGACTAAATTAGGATAAAATCTCTTAATCCCTACGTTAGAAGAAGGATTTTAAAGGTTTTACCTCTATTTCCCCTATTGGGCCCCGCCCCTGGGGTCCCAGGGAGGCCACATCCATTGTTTATACAAAATTGAGTCCCCTTGGCCTAATGATGCTCCAGAACAAATTTAGTCAAAATCTTCTTGGCTGTTCAGGACTAGTAGCGTTGTAAAGGAAAAGTTGACAGACAGACGACAGATGACAGATGACAACACTAACGACCATGAGTCGATCATTCCTACAAACTTTCAGTTCAATCTGCCCAGCAGAACTTGACTTTAAGTTTGAAATAGTTTTTCAAAATGGCGGCCGTGGCGGCCATATTGGATTTCTGATCGACCTGAAAAATAACAACACTTTGTCAGGACCATGAGTCGATCATTCCTACAAACTTTAAGTTCAATTGGTCCAGCAGAACTTGACTTTAAGTTTGAAATGTAAAATGTTAACGGACGACGGACGACGACGGACGACGACGGACGACGGACAACGGACGACGACGGACGAAAACGGATAGCAATAGGTCACTTGAGCTAAAGCTCAGGTGACCTAAAAATACTTGTCCAGACAACTTCTCCAAAACTATGGGACCAATTTCAGTTTACAGATATGGTAACTGCCCCCTGACATATTGTGCATCCAAGTAGCATGTTTTCATTTTCACCCTTTAAAAAGGAGTTATGGCCCTTTGTTGTAAAAAACCTTTGTCTGCTTCATAAACCACTGGGTCGATTTCAACGAAAGTTTACAGATATGGTAATTACCCCCTGATGTCGTGCATAAGGGTAGTAATTTTTCATTTCGACCCTTTATAAGGAGTTATGGCCTTTTGTTAAAAATCTTTGTCTTGACAACTCTTCCTTAATTACTAGGACGATTTCAGCAAAACTGGTTCATTGAGACTAACAAGATTTGGTATGCAAGTATGTTTTGGGGAGAGAGTACAGGAAGTAAGTCAGTGACCTATATGCTTAAATAATTACTGGTGTGAGACTATGGATTGCTTTGCAATTCTTTGCCTTAGTTAGCCTTTAGCTTACAGCTCTGGTTTATATGGGAGCGGGTGGTATCAATCAGCCGTTAGCTTACAGCTATGGTTTATATGGGAGCGGGTGGTATCAGTCAGCCTTTAGCTTACAGCTCTGGTTTATATAGGAGCGGGTGGTATCAGTCAGCCTTTGGCTTACAGCTCTGGTTTATATAGGAGCGGGTGGTATCAATCAGCCGTTAGCTTACAGCTCTGGTTTATATGGGAGCGGGTGGTATCAGTCAGCCTTTTGCTTACAGCTCTGGTTTATACAGGAGCTGGTTTTATAAGTAAGCCTTTGGCTTACAGCTCTGGATTATACAGGAGCGGGTGTTATAAGTAAGCCTTTGGCTTACAGCTCTGGTTTATATGGAAGCGGGTGGTATCAGTCAGACTTTGGCTTACAGCTCTGGTTTATACAGGAGCGGGGGTTATAAGTAAAACTTTGGCTTACAGCTCTGGTTTATACAGGAGTGGGAGTTATAAGTAAGCATTTAGCTTACAGCTCTGGTTTATATAGGAGCGGGTGGGATCAGTCAGCCTTTAGCTTACAGCTCTGGTTTATACAGGAGCGAGGGTTATAAGTAAGCCTTTAGCTTACAGCTCTGGTTTATATAAGAGCGGGTGTTATAAGTAAGCCTTTGGCTTACAGCTCTGGTTTATACAGGAGTGGGTGTTATAAGTAAGCTTTTAGCTTACAGCTCTGGTTTATATAGGAGCGGGGGTATTAGTTAGCCTTTAGCTTACAGCTCTGGTTTATACAGGAGCGGGGGTTATAAGTAAAACTTTGGCTTACAGCTCTGGTTTATACAGGAGCGGGTGGTATCAGTCAGCCTTTGGCTTACAGCTCTGGGTTATATAGGAGCGGGTGGTATCAGTCAGCCTTTGGCTTACCGCTCTGGTTTATACAGGAGCGGGTGTTATAAGTAAGCCTTTAGCTTACAGCTCTGGTTTATATGGGGGCGGGTGGTATCAATCAGCCGTTAGCTTACAGCTCTGGTTTATATAGGAGCGGGTGTTACAAGTAAGCCTTTGGCTTACAGCTCTGGATTATACAGGAGCGGGTGTTATAAGTAAGCCTTTAGCTTACAGCTCTGGTTTATATAGGAGCGGGTGTTATCAGTCAGCCTTTGGCTTACAGCTCTGGTTTATACAGGAGTGGGTGTTATAAGTAAGCCTTTAGCTTACAGCTCTGGTTTATATAGGAGCGGGTGTTATAAGTAAGCCTTTGGCTTACAGCTCTGGTTTATACAGGAGCGGGTGTTATAAGTAAGCCTTTAGCTTACAGCTCTGGTTTATACAGGAGCGGGTGGTTTCAGTTAGCCTTTAGCTTACAGCTCTGGTTTATATAGGAGCGGGGGTATTAGTTAGCCTTTAGCTTACAGCTCTGGTTTATATAGGAGCGGGTGGTATCAGTCAGCCTTTGGCTTACAGTTGTAGTTATTATTTTAGTTTGCCTATTGCCCATTCATTCAACAAAATATGAAGGAATATTATTCTATATCGTTTAAATGCTCAACAAATAAAGCAACGAAAGATATCCTTGTCTAACTCCCCATACAAAACTTTTATTTTAGCACATTTGATTTTTGTGACCTTGAACAAAGGTCAAGGCCATCAACGTTTACAAAACTTAAATTTATTCACATGAACAACCAACCTACTGGCAGAATATCAAGACTCAATGACCTTTCGTCATGAAGAAACACAAGCTAAAGGAAAAGTGGAAAGAAAGCTATGTTTTTCTTTTTTTGAATCAAAAGTGTTATATGACAAATTTACCGATTGTCAATTTTTTTGAAATTCCTGATGTTGAAAGATATTATTGGTAGCCAACTTTTAAACAAGTATGAAAAATAGACTCGTTTTAGATCTATGTAAATTAACGTGTCAAAAATGGAAATTTTCTCAAAAGTAATGAAGTTTCACATATTTTTCTGCTTAAATTTTCAATAAAAAGAACAATTCTTTCTTGAAATAGCGTTATATTCGGTAACAAAATAACAGTTGGAATATGTTGCATACGATGATGATATAATTTTATAGTAACTGTGTCCTTAAATGCTCTAGGAGGAATTGAATTACCGAACCTTTAACTCCCACACAGGTGTAAGTCAATGAGGTCCCATTTATCATAAAAATGAATTCTGAAACCAACCGTTCCTGATGTAAGCGTCCTAAACCCATACCTTATTAGATTGATCATGTTTTTAAATTCCTTGCAGGGGCCGACGCTAATGTCAAATCTCCATAGGCGTTGACCCTACCTTTGAACTGAAATGGCTGAAACTTACAACCATTTGTGAAATGGATATCTACTGGCTTGTTCCCTCTCTTTTGACATGCAGTCGGGAACAGCACATCAGTGTTTTTAATTAATCTTGGGCAGTTGTCTCATTATTGCTGGTTACCAGATGTATACATATCCCCCCTATCACCCGAGATGCATATCTTACACCTGGTCGAGGCCGGAGAGAAAAAGTATCTTGAAAACTTGTCTTTTTGTGCACATTGATTTCCTATGAAACTTGAATTTAATCTGTAGCAAACTACTGGAATGATCAAGCGAACACTGTTTAGTGTTTAGGCAAATGAATAAAGGGCCATAACTCCATAAATTCACCCCGATAATTGCACTTATCAAACTTGTCCGTACTATCATGGTAATAAACCTTCCTATGAAGTTTGAAGTTAATCCGTTGAAAACTGCTCAAGATATCGATCAGACACCGTTCCCGCCCGCACATGATAACATAATAAAAAAAACTATTAGCAACAACTCTTAGCTTAAACAACAACCATGTACAATATGGCTACATTCGCGTATCCGGTTGAAACGGTTGAACCGGTTGAACCTGTAAAGAAAACGACAGGTACAGATTTGGACCGAGGCTGACTTCAGGAAAATTTGGTACGTGTAGATTGATGGGTCCAGACGTACCTGACCGAAACTAAAATGCTGACTATTGCCAATTTGCGTTATTTCTTTCTTAAACAATGTCATGTCACATGTAGTTTTTAAGATACATTATGTAATTTAGTGGATGGATAAAAGAAGGGCATATTATTCTTGATACATTTTTTTTTCTTTCTCCGAAACTGTGCATTTTTAGCTCCGCTTGTAGAACGGTCCAAGTGCGTTCGTTTATCGTGGAAAATGTCTGCGCCACACGTCCCGTTTCAACCGGGATACGCGAATGTACCCCAGGTGTTGTATCATGTCATGTAAAAAAATTGAAAATGAATAAAAAAAAAAATAAAAAAAAAAATAACATAATACACCCTGCCCCATCTTTCGAATGGGTGTATCAAAATTCAAAAGTAGAAAACAAGAGACACCTACCATCCATTCTGTGCTGGCCTGATTCAGCAGCGAGTTTTTGAACAGGTTACTGACAGCGTAGCAGGCATTCCACCTCACCTAAATAAACGACATCATCAAAGTAAAGATTTATTTCGGGTTCAGTTCAACAAAAGTGAAGGTTAAAGTACATGAGGAGCGGTATGATCAACGAATGGCAAATGTGGGCATAATTAGGAACGCATGTTGAAGACAGAATTAACAAGTGCTGATTGTATTGGGAACCACTGCGTATAGACAAAATCTGAATTTCGACCAATCAGAGGCCGCGACAACCATGCTTGATGACCAATCAAGAAATGAAAAGTCATCTGCACTCCACCTTCCATTCTCCAACACATATATGTAAAGTTTGGTTTAATCTTGCCTAATAGTTTTCAAGAAAAGCGGCAGAAACCTTGTCAGAAAAAATGGAAACAAATAAGAAAAGGAGCAAAAACAATAAGTCCCCAAACTGTGTTCTAGGGACTTCATGACAGATAAAATTTATATGGATCACTTGACTTTTGTTCAAACATTTAGGACCTTATTGTTTATCCCGTTCAACCATTTCAACCAGCTGAACCTGAAAAGAAAACGACAGACTCAGATCTGAACCGGGGCTGACCTCAGGAAAATTTGACAAGAGTAGATTGAGGGGTCCAGACGTCGTGCCTAACCGAGACTAAAATGCTGACTATTCATGGTTTGAATTATTTCTTTATAAAACAAGGTCGATGCACATATATGTTTTAAGATACCTTATATAATTAATTGTACAAGTAAAAGAATGACATATTATTCTTGAAATATTGTTATTATTTGTCACAAACTCTAAAACTATGCTTTTTTGTTTTAGCTCTGCCTACACAGTTCAATCCAAGTGTGTTCGTTTATCGCGGAATATTTCTGCGCCACCTCCACATTTTCAACCGGGTTATGCAAATGCGACCCTAGAGACAACGCTGTATTTACCTTCATTGTGCCAGAGCTGATGTTTTTCACAAGCGCCTTCACACCCTCCTCCACCGGTATCTTAAACGTACACTTCTCTGAAATTGAATGTTGTTTTTTTGCAATTTTTTTTTTTAAAATCAAAATCTCTGAAAGGTTCCCGTGTCGATACATTAACCTATCCTTACTTCTATAACCACCGCAATCAAGTATCAATAATTCAGTCTCCTTCTTCCTCTCAAAGACGGACCAGCGAGACTAAAGATTCATACACTCGGGCAGGTGCATTCTGTTACTGTTTCCAAACATACACAGGGGTATTAAGTTACCATTTACGTTGAAAATTTCAGACTTGGGCAAAATATATGTAGAAACTTTTTGAATACATACCAAGGCTACTCCTGGGGAGGTACCTCATCAGGTTACCAAGGGCGCGGACAGCGTTAGAGCGCACCTTATCACTGTCCTGGCAGGCTTTTGTTGCTGTGGTGAACAGCTTCTGTAGTAACAGGTTGGAGAAGTCCTGTAGGAACTGGACGTCGCCCTCCGTCCTAGATACAAGGGGACATAATCAGTGACAATATCGCGAAATACATATATACCAGCAACACATTTTGTACTTAATAATAAACTTGATTATAACAATGATAATAAACTTTATTATAACAATGATAATAAACTTTATTTATTGAGGATTAAAAACCTGATTTAGCCAAAGGCTAATCTCCCTCAGGGTCCTCTATATTAGTAAAATGTGTTAGTGTTACTTAAAACATAGTAATATACATTAAACATAAACATCATCTAAAATATAAGTTATGAGATTGCTGAAATTATATGCAGTTATATAGTACAATACATCAAATATCACAGAAAGCATACATCTCATGCTTTGAAGGTCTGATAATAGTTAAATGGCCGGAGCCTTACATACATATACGCTAATATAGCGAAGTATGAAAATTGCCAGGATATACGTTAATATAGCATAAATTAAAAACTGTTTTCTTTATCTAAAAGTATGAATCACAGTAGTGCTTTATAGCTCTATGCTTGAAAGTGTTAAAAGATGGTGATGACCTTACATCAATTGGAAGTGCATTCCAAGTCTTACAACTTGATAAAACAAAGTGACTAGACTGGTCACTTGATTCATTGTCCTAGGCAAAAATAGACTGAATAAATTCATGAAAAAGTATATTAATATGTGTAAAAAGTTCAGTTGAACTTCGGAATAAGATTCATCAGTTTGGTATGAATAATAAAGGCTAAGTGGGTTTTTTTAACACGAATAGGATTCGAAAACTTATTTTGCAAGCATTCGAAAATGCTGCTTCCACTGTCAAGCAAAGAGTGTAAACGACGGGTGTCTCGACTCTAAACCGCTAATTTACACTCTTTGCTTGACAAAGGAAACAGACGTTTTCGAAAACTCGCATAAGAAGTTTTCAATTCCTGTTTGTGTTCAAAACAAACTAAACCTGTAAGCCTTTATTGTGAATTTATCCACATTTTGGTTTGTTGGTGTTTTACGTCCTATAAACAGCTATGGTCATTTAAGGACGTGCCAGGTTTTGGTGGTGGAGGAAAGCCGGAGTTCCCAGAGAAAAATCACCAACCTACCGTGCCAGTACCTGGCGACTGCCCCACGTAGGCCCTCAAACCCGCGACCCTTTGGTGGAGGGCTAGTGGTAGCAGAATGTCAGACCCCTTAACCACTTGGCAACCGCGGCCCCAATTATCCACATAAACAAACCATGGACTGTTAGTAATGAAACATACAATAGCTATGGGATATTATACTACCACCTACTTGTTGAGTACTAAGGCGTCACAGAGATTAGCCAGCGACCACGCCGTCTTCAGCCGCACATTCAGACTCGAGTCTGCCATACTTTTTAAAATGGAGTTAGCAGCATCAGCAATGAAGGACACATCCTGCAAAAGAAAAAGAAAATTTAAAAATGAAAAAAAGAAAAACGATACAGAATAAGTACTATCAGAAAATAAGCTATTCTTACCAGTGGGATGAAATCTTTTTAAACAGTGTTCACACAAAAAACAATCTTTTCATAGAATGTTTATCTAAAACTCCCAAATGGATGTTAATGTTTTTTTCCGATTTTCAATCTCATACCAAAAATTATTGAAAATAAATAAATATACAAGCAAACATGACAAGAAACAAGAAATGTTATGGTATTTTCCATATACACCACTTCAATAATATTGCAAACTATATATTCCCAGAATGAAAGATTTCTTAACTCATTCACCCCTGAAATTTCATAATGAACTATTCCAATTTTTGAATTGGAAGAGTTCAAATGTGTTTTCAGGGGTGAATGGGTTAATATATTTACACAAAAATACTGGCAATACTGGTGAAAGGTACGTGTTGATAGGGATAAAACCACTCACCTCTCTCAGACATGGGTACAAGACATACACCCCTACAGCCCTCACTGCCGCTGATCGTACAATCCTATCGTCATCCGACGTCAGACCGAGCACCAGGGTAATACACAGAATCCTCTTGTCCATCTGTAATAGTTTATAACGCCACTTATAAAATTGTCAAGTCGCAAGGTAAGAGTATTTATGGATGTAATTGTTTTTGTGGTAAGGTGAGTTTTTAAATGGAGTAACACTGCTGAGTTTCAAAAATGTTCTAGACTGAAAACTCCAGATTTAATAGTTTTCGTTTAATTTAAAGTTTCAATGTCCGATTCACAATTTTCATACAAATTGACTTTTTCAATGAACATTTGAATATTTGTCATCAAGGTGAATGTTAAAATATTTCTGAGTTAAGATTTTCTCGTACCGGTAAAACCGCGAACACCTCTGGTCCGACGTTGGATATACAGTCACATGACGTGGCTCGAACAGCGTTGTTGGCTTCCATCTGTAATATGCTAGGTAAGGGGCCCATCAACATGAAAACCCAGAACTCCTTGGCCTGAGGAAAAATTCATTATAATAAGCATCAGAAGATGGACCAAACTAGAATGAATATTTTCTACTTGGTCTTTTTCTGTCCACAGAAAAAAATAAAAAATAAATCATTTACAAGCATATTCAGTAAGAGCTAGTGTACTCATACACAGGCCCATTTAAGTCTAGAATGAAATTTGGTTATTTCAACTTATGTTAATCACTATTGTTGGCATGGATGTTAGCATGTGGGTGGGTGGNTGGTCGGGTAGGTGACCCTAAACCTTTTCACGTACGATCGGGGAATCGAACCCCGGCCGTCTTGGTGAAAGGCAAGTGCGCTATCCACTGCACCACCTGACCACGTTACGTTAACATATGTGTGAGTATTGTGCAATGTGATACATTCAAGAATGCAATGTTGGTTCTTTGTGTTATATTTCTCAAGAGAAAATGCAAAAATTTTAAAACCTGTATAATTTAGGAGAAAATTGTTACCTCCCCCCCAAAAAAAAGAAATGGAAATGATGCCAATTTAACAGTTTGGTACATATGACAAGAGGCCCAAGGGGCCTGCATCGCTCACCTGTTATTAATCTAACGCTTGTAATCTTAAGATTTCATAAGAATCTATTAAAAGATTTAAGCATATGACGCCTCTGACCTTGATTGTTGAAACAGGATATTACGTTGAAATGTGTTCAAGGTCATTCATTTGAACTAACATGGTAGTCCTTCATCCCAGCATGCTACAGGCCCAATTTCAGTACCCTGGCCCTTTTGCTTATTGAAAAGAAGTCGCTTGAAGATTTTACGACATTTGACCCTGTGACCTTGAAAGTTGGTCAAGTTCATTCAGTTGAACAAACTTGATAGTCCTTTATCCCAGCATGCTACAGGCCAATATCAGTACCCTGGCCCTTTGGTTATTGAGAAGAAGTCGCTTGAAGATTTTAAAGACATCTGACCCCAATGTCCTTGAAAGTTGGTCAAGGTCATTCAGTTGAACAAACTTGATAGTCCTTTATCCCAGCATGCTACAGGCCAATATCAGTCCCCTGGCCCTTTGGTTATTGAGAAGAAGTCGCTTGAATATTTTAAAGACATCTGACCCCAATGACCTTGAAAGTTGGTCAAGGTCATTCATTTGAACAAACTTGGTAGCCCTTCATCCCAGCATGCTACAGGCCCAATATCAGTACACTGGGCCTTTTTGGTTATTGAAAAGAAGCTGTTTGAAGATTTAAGACATCTGACCCCAGTGACCTTGAAAGTGGGTCAAGGTCATTCATTTGAACAAACTTGGTAGCCCTTCATCCCAGCATGCTACAGCCCCAATATCAGTACCCTGGGCCTTTTGGTTATTGAGAAGAAGTTGTTTGAAGATGTTAACATATTTGACCCCTGTGACCTTGAAAGTAGGTCAAGGTTATTTATTTGAACAAACTTGGTAGCCCTTGATCCCAGCATGCTACTGGCCAAATATCATCTACCTAGGCCTTTTGGTTATTGAGAAGAAGTTGTTTAAAGCAAAAAGTTGACGCCTGACAGACGGACGACGGACGGACGGACGGACGGACGGACGGACGACGGATGCCGCACCATAACATAAGTTCACTTGCCCTTCGGGCAGGTGAGCTAAAAATAGAAATGATGAGCAACAACACCACTGAATCCAGTACAAAATGTAATGTTTGATTTACATCCTACGTGCTGACATGTTTCAGCCAAAGGGAGGCCGTCTTCAGAACACAGTTACATGATGGTACAATGACAGTAAAGGTCATGTGACTAGAACAATAAAGAATGACTGTGACATCATCAAGTTGCTAAGAGTTACAGTCTGGTATGGTGAAAAGGTTTAGCCATTTTTGATTGGTGCATAATAGAATAAGTGCTAAATAATTTCAGTATGATGCACTAAAAGATTATGTAAAAAGTATCATAGTAAATGTGAATGTATGAGTTGTAGTATTACAGTATTTACAGTGTAAGTTTGGTACATATATGTGTGAAGTAACAATATTACGACATTATAGTTGACAGTTGTACATGACCCTAGATTGTTCCACTCACCAGGTCAATGTTCACTCTATTACCAGGACCGTCTGTCTCAGCCGCCTGTACATCTTGTAAAATCACTTGTGTCAACACATCCAGCAGCTAAAATATAAAATACACGGAATTTAAATCGTAGCAACAACATCCAAGATTTCTTTTTTTTTAAATACACAACAAAATCTAAGAAAAAATTTGTATTACCACAAAATCTAAGCAACTCGGCAAAGCCTTGTGTTTGGCAACTTAAGAATCTTTCCCAGAGGGTTGAGATTCCCCTATCTCAACCACAAGGGGGTGAATGATTCTTTTTCTCTTACCCTGTTCACCCATTGCGTATCATATATATAATGTAATGTTAAACTCAGGGTTGACGTGACATTGATGCATTGTTGACATGACGTCATTGTATTGTTGACGTGACGTCATATAATTGTGATGCATAGGGGATTTCCCCTGTCTCAGCACCCTAGGGTGAGACAAGGATATCCCACATCGGGAAAAGTGTGGATACACCCGTCTAGTGTAAGTGAAATCTCTGTTTTACCATAGGGTAAAGACGAGGGGATTCCCATGTCATAACAATTGTATGTTCATATGAGGTCGCCCCAACAATACAATAGCAGATCACAGAAGATAACTGCAATTTGCTGGAATTATGAAAACACTGTTTGCATTACATGAAATTAACACTTGTATTTGCTGAGGGAGAAAAACAAGAATTCCACATTTTAGGAGTAAAACAGAAAAATCTCAACCCCCGGCCAAAGATTTTTAAATGTCTGGCCCTAAACTGTCTTGAGGGAAGAATATCAAGATGGCAAGCACTTGGCAAACCTTGTGTTTAGCAAATTAAAAACTTTTCCCCCTGGTTGTTATTCACTTATCTCATTGACAAAATGGTGAAAGATTCTATTATCCTATATGTTGTGATTTATTTCTCACCCAGGATAGCTCTCGTCTATATATAGCTAGCACACACACTGGTAAAAAGAGTAATACTGACCTTGATTGTGTGTAGCCTGACCACCTGGTCCGAGTCCTGTATACACTTGTGTATCAGATCCCGTAGGATAGCTCTCGTCTATATATAGCTAGCACACACACTGGTAAAAAGAGTAATACTGACCTTGATTGTGTGTAGCCTGACCACCTGGTCCGAGTCCTGTATACACTTGTGTATCAGATCCCGTAGTACGGCCAAACCGTTCCTGGAACAACAGAGTTACTCATGGTTTACATATTACTCTTAATGTAACTGACTCGTTAAAACCATAAACTCGCTATTTCATAACAACATTACAGTTATGAAGTATTACTGCAGCTTATTTGTACCTGTCATATTATTCTGCAAATCATATTTTCGCGATCATGTTATTCAACCGCGAAATCACAAAACCATCAGGGCAAGGAAAAAAATTTCAAATACACTGGCCCATCAGGCCATGACATGACAGTGGATCTTAAAATGCACTTGCCCAAAGTAGAAACTTACTGGTCCAAGATTTAAAAACTTTTTTCAGCCAAAGTATCACTATATATTAAATAAAGACTAATTAATGCATCAAGCAGTGTGTGCCAAACTTTTAAAACTATTACTGGACATTCGGGCTGGTAAATTAAATCTTTTACAGGGCCGAAAAAAATTTCAGCTTCAAAACATTTATAGAAAATAAAGTTTGTTTTCAAACGACAATTTAATCTTATTTGTTTTCATTTAGGTAAATAGTTCGTCCATCTTGCCACTTGTAAATGAAAACTGATTTAGCAGACAGTCTCTGACAACAAACTTTTCTTTTCAGGTTTTATGAAATATTTTAACTTTTTCCCATCGTGGACCATCAGGCGGGGGGGTATTTCACGCCCTGTTTCTGGGGTAAAAATTTTGCGGTTTCTTATTCAGTACATATTCACGGGGTTTAAATTTTGCTGTGCACCCAAATCCCATGTATCATGTAAAGTAGTTTGGGTGTCATTATTTAGGGGTTAAACCTCGAAATGCAGGTAAACCGTTCAAAAACACTGATCCCGAGCGTCGTCATCCGCCAGTGACTTCAATCGAAAGAAAATCAAATGTGTACATGTATGTACCTTTGTAGGAGTAAACTGTAATCAATCAATCACAAATTGTGTACACATACATATATTGAGGCCACTTATAGGTAAGTGTGGTTTTACCATGGACTGCCCAGTTGTCCGGTGATAATCTGATGATTTCAGTTCATTTAAGCTTGCATAACAGCGCGTTGGGTTATAAGTATTTTCAACATGTTGTGATAAGGTCCGTAAAAGTGGTTAACATTTTAGACAATTTCGCTGGTGTTTAGAATTTGCGGATATTAGTCAAAGCGCGTATAAAGCAAAAAAAAATAAAAAATATAACCGCTTTACAGTACACGTTATGTGTTTGGGAATCCACTGTAAGTGTCAAGATTGATTTTAACATTTGTACAATGGCCTTTCAATCTCGCTCAAAACAAACAGCTCGACTTACCGGATAATAGGGAAATAACCTTTGGTGAGGTGGGCCAGTACCTGGAGAGACTCTAATCTCACAGGAAGTGGCTCAAAATGAGGCTCTGTCCAGTTTCCATGGTGATCTGTAAATGGAAGTATGTTCCTCATGCAAAGTTTAATCAACCATGACGTGTCACGAGCATGGGCCTGAAGTAACTTGTCAGAGTACACAGGGGTCAAAGCTCCTGGGGACACCGACCCTGACCCTGACCCTTGGCCAACAGGTGGGGTCACGACCTCTGGAGATAGACTTTGGAGTTGTCCGTCATTTGTAGAATAATCAGCTTTCGAGTTTCCAGAACTCTCCGACAACTGGTTTCCTTGAGCACTACCTAATCTAGAATTTCTGGATTCTGATTGGCTGTCCACGTCCCCAGGTTGTTGATTGACAGGTGGGGCTGGTTGCGCTAGGGATGCGGATAGTGGAGGTATAGACGGCTGCATGATGTGACAAATCTCCATGAGTGGAGGCTGGATGGCAGCTACTGCCCCGAAACACGTCAGACACGCCACTCGCACATTCGGATCTGTAAGTAGAGTAAACAGGAGATGTAGGAGAACAGCATAGCTCGTCTATTAAAATTATTTTTGCAAAAAGTGCTAAATAGTAATTGGGCCATTATAGGGTGTCCTATCTTAGATAATAGATGAGGAAACATGTCGATGGCACACTCCCACTACACCCCCC